TTTGATGGCTGCATACTATTCCATTGTGTGTGTGTGTGTACACACACACACACACACACACACACACACATATATATATATATATATATATACACATATATACCATATCTTCTTTATCCATTCATCTGTTGATGGACATCTAGGTTCTTTCCATATTTGTTTGGCTATCGTGGACATTGCTGCTGTAAACATTGGGGTGCACGTGTCCCTTCAGATCACTACATTTGTATCTTTAGGGTAAATACCCAGTAGTGCGATTGCTGGATTGTAGGGTAGCTCTATTTTCAACTTTTTGAAGAACCTCCATGCTGTTTTCCAGGGTGGCTGTACCAGCCTGCATTCCCACCAACAGTGTAGGAGGGTTCCCCTTTCTCCGCATCACCAACGCCTGTTGTTTCCTGACTGGTTAATTTTAGCCATTCTGACTGGTGTGAGGTGGTTATCTCATTGTGGTTTTGATTTGTATTTCCCGGATGCCAAGTGATATTGAACACATTTTCATGAGTCTGTTGGCCATCTGGATGTCTTTTTTGCAGAAATGTCTGTTCATGTCTTCTGCCCATTTCTTGATTGGATTATTTGTTCTTTGGGTGTTGAGTTTGATAAGTTTTTCATATATTTTGGATACTAGCCCTTTATTTGATATGTCATTTGCAAATATCTCCTCCCATTTTTCAGATGTCTTTTGGTTTTGTTGACTGTTTCCTTTGCTATGCAAAAACCTTGGATCTTGATGAAATCCCAATAGTTCATTTTTGCCCTTGCTTCCCTTGCCCTTGGCGATGTTTCCAGGAAGAAATTGCTGTGGCTGAGGTTGAAGAGCTTGCTGCCTGTGTTCTCCTCAAGGATTTTGATGGATTCCTGTTTCACATTGAGGTCTTTCATCCATTTTGAGTCTATTTTTGTGTGCGGTGTAAGGAAATGGTCCAGTTTCATTCTGTGTGTGGCTGTCCAATTTTCCCAACACTATTTGTTGAAGAGACTGTCTTTGTTCCATTGGACATTCTTTCCTGCTTTGTCAAAGATTAATTGACCATAGAGTTGAGGGTCTATTTCTGGGCTCTCTATTCTGTCCCATTGATCTATGTGTCTGTTTTTGTGCCAGTACCATACTGTCTTGATGATTATAGCTTTGTGATAGAGCTTGAAGTTTGGAATTGTGATGCCACCAACTTTGGTTTTCCTTTTCAACATTCCTCTGGCTATTCAGGGTCTTTTCTGGTTCCATATAAATTTTAGGATTATTTGTTCCATTTCTTTGAAAAAAATGGATGGGACTTTGATAGGGATTGCATTAAATGTATAGATTGCTTTAGGTAGCATAGACATTTTCACAATATTTGTTCTTCCAATCCATGAGCATGGAACATTTTTCCATTTCTTTGTGTCTTCCTCAATTTTTTCCTGAGTACTTTATACTTTTTTGAGTACAGATTCTTGGCCTCTTTGGTTAGGTTTATTCCTAGGTATCTTATGGTTTTGGGTGCAATTGTAAATGGAATTGACTCCTTAATTTCTCTTTCTTCTGTCTTGTTGTTGGTATATATAAATGCAACTGATTTCTGTGCATTGATTTTATATCCTGCCACTTCACTGAATTCCTGTATGAGTTCTAGCAGTTTTAGAATCTAGTCTTTTAGGTTTTTCACATAAAGTGTCATATCATCTGCAAAGAGTGAGAGTTTGACTTCTTCTTTGCCAATTTGGATGCTTTTAATTTCTTTTTGTTGTCCAATTGCTGAGGCTAGGACTTCTAGTACTATGTTGAATAGCAGTGGTGATAGTGGACATCCCTGCCGTATTCCTGATCTTAGTGGAAAAGCTCTCAGTTTTTTCCCATTGAGAATGATATTCGCTGTGGGTTTTTCATAGATGTCTTTGATGATATTGAGGTATATACCCTCTATTCCTACACTTTGAAGAGGTTTTTTTTTTTTAATTTTATTGATTTGTTTGATAGATCACAAGTGGGCAGAGAGGCAGGCAGAGAGAGAGGGAGAAGCAGTCTCCCTGCTGAGCAGAGAGCCCAATGTGGGGCTCGATCCCAGGACCCTGAGATCATGACCTGAGCCAAAGGCAGCGGCTCAACCCACTGAGCCACCCAGGCACCCCTGAAGAGTTTTGATCAAGAAAGGATGCTGTACTTTGTGAAATGCTTTTTCAGCATCTATTGAGGGTATCATATGGTTCTTGTTCTTTCTTTTATTGATGTATTGTATCACATTGATTGACTTGTGGATATTGAACCAACCTTGTAGCCCAAGAATAAATCCCATTTGGTTGTGATGAATAATCCTTTTAATGTACTGTTGGATCCTATTGGCTAGTATTTTGGTGAGAATTTTTACATCCGTGTTCATCAGGGATATTGGTCTGTAATTCTCCTTTTTGATGGGGTCTTTGTCTGATGTGGGGATCAAGGTAATGCTGGCCTCATAAAATGAGTTTGGAAGTTTTCCTTCCATTTCTATTTTTTGGAGCAGTTTCAGATGGATAGGTATTAATCTGCTTTAAATGTCTGGTGGAATTCCCCTGGGAAGCTGAATGGCCCCGGACTCTTGTTTATTGGGAGATTTTTGATGACTGCTTCAATCTCATTACTGGTTATGGGTCTGTTCAGGTTTTCTGTTTTTTCCTGGTTCAGTTATGGTAGTTTATATGTCTCTAGGAATGCATAATTTCTTCCAGATTGTCAAAGTTGCTGGCATATAGTTGCTCATAATATGTTCTTATAATTGTTTGTACTTCTTTGGTGTTGGTTGTGATCTCTCCTCTATCATTCATGATTTTATTAATTTGGGTCCCTACTCTTTTCTTTTTGATAAGTCTGGCCAGGGGTTTATCAATCTTATTAATTCTTTCAAAGAACCAGCTCCTAGTTTCGTTGATCTGTTCTACCATTCTTTTGGTTTTTATTTTACTGATTTCTGCTCTGATCTTTATTATTTCTCTTCTCTTGCTGGGTTTAGGCTTTCTTTGCTGTTCTTTCTCCAGCTCCTTTAGGTATAGGGTTAGGTTGTGTACTTGAGACCTTGTTTCTTGAGAAAGGCTTGTATATAATATATATATATATATATATATATATATATATATATATATATTTATATATATATATATAAATATATATATATAATCTATATGCTTTCCTCTCAGGACTGCCTTTGCTGGGGACATCTCTTCTGGGTCATGGCTCAGCAGCCTCAGAGGGGTCCTGGCCTGGGAATCATAATATTCTAGGCAGAGAAAATAGAATGTTCTGTCCTTGATCCTGGAGGGTTTAGTCTTCTGATCTTATGGAAGTCTTATTCCATCTGAGGGATTCTTATGTATAATCATGAGAGCTTCCACGTTTGAGCATGACTAAGTGCCAGGTCTGGACTTTGCATCCTAGAAATAGTATCTCGAATCCTCACCGAATCAAGCTAAGGGGCTGGATGATGAAATGAGGCTTCGAGAGGTGGTAAGTCTGCCTGGGATCAGGGCCAGTGCTGGGCAGAGCCCCGTACAACACCCCCTCACTGCTTATGGAGGCCTGCGCATCCTGACTTTGGTACCACAGGGAGGTTATATTTCCCCTGGCATGGTGCCCACCAGCCAGAAGGAGAGCAATCAGGACAGGCCAAGACACATCCACATTTAGTTGTTTCTGATTTCAGTGCATACTTGGTGTTTGCCCATGAGTGAGCAGAGATCTGAAGGAGAAAATCAAGTGCCTTTGCCCTTTTTATATGTGCAAAAAAAAAAAAAAAAGAAGCATTTTGTCACTGTTGAGTGCATACTTTCTTTTTTTGTGTTAACATTTATGGGAGATTTTCTCGTTGTGGAGCAATTCATGCTCATGACAGACTAATAGACATTCTACCATATGGTATGACCCCTGTTAAGACACTGTTATATGCATATATATATGAATACACATGTGATTTTGTTTCCTACTTATCTCACTTATAAACATAAATACTTCCCCTTTTATTTCAAGCCCTTTCTAGATTAATTTTAATACCTGCATGATACATACATGGAGTGTGGCCATTCTTCTCTACTGTTTGATGTTTAAGATACTGTTTGATGTTTAAGATACTTCCCCTACTACACATAATGTGAGAATGATCCTTGTACATGAAGCTTTGTTTGTACTTGTGATTCATTTCTTTTCTTTTCTAAAGATTTATTTATTTGAGAGAAAGTGCCTGTACAAGCAGGAGGTGCAGAGGGAGAAGGAGACAGTCTCGAGCAGACTCGGAGCTGAGCATAGAGGCCACATGTGGGGCTCGATCTCATAATCCTGAGATCATGATCTGAGCCAAAACCAAGAGTCAGACACTCAACTGACTCTGCCACCCAGGTGCCCCAGCTGTGGTTCTTTTCTTCTGTGAAATTCCTGGTAGTGAAATTTCTGGGTCAGAGGGTCATGGACACAGTAAGGTTCTTACTGGTGACTCTGTGCTGGGGGCCATGGATGTTTATTTTCTCCTAGTTTACTCTACGATCAGTTAGTTCTTTTCTTCCTGGGAGGATCCAGGAAGAAACCGGAGATAACCATCCAAGATCTGCAACCATTCTTTTCTTTCTCTACAAAGCCCTGAAGCAGCAGGTTTTTAGCTGATGAGCAAACACGGATGATTCCCCAGGACCCTGTGAGGAGGTGCCCCGTTCTGGCTCCTTGCAGTCAGAGTATGAGCCCCCTGTATGAGTGGGGCTGGATTCTGCCTCTTACAACCTGTCCTCTTGCACTCAGCTTCCTCCCTGCCCAGTGGGAATGTCTGGTCACTTTCATGGAAATGTTGTCTTTTCCCTTCTCACCTGCCAGGTTTCAGGGCCTTGTCACAGATGCCAGATGATTTGCATCGACCAGCAAACAGGGCAGCGAAACCAAAATGTTTTCCAAAAACTTTCCGAGAGTCGCGAGAGAAAGGTAAGCATGATTGCAAGCTATGACGCCTGTTTTAAGATCCTGGCTTGTTATCCACACCAGAACTGTAGTTCCAAGTAATAGTGCTGAGTACATTTTAGAAGTGGGAAGACCTGGGGTGCCTGGGTGGCTCAGTGGGTTAAAGCCTCTGCCTTCAGCTCGGGTCATGATCCCAGAGTCCTGCGATTGAGCCCCGTATCGGGCTCTTTGCTCGGCAGGGATCCTGCTTTTTCCTCTCTCTCTCTCTCTAACTGCCTTTCTACCTACTTGTGATCTCTACCTGTCAAATAAATAAATACAATCTTAAAAAAAAAAAAAAAAAGAAGTGGGAAGACCTTCTACCCCTGATGGGCTACCATTAAGATTCTGACCTCTTCCACGGTGCCATCTTGTTTTTCCTTTCCCTCCATTTCCTTACCTTTTTGAGTCTTATAATGTGTATTTTTGGTATTCTCAAATTTCAGTGAAGAAATATGGGGTATAAATAAGAAATGAGTAAATAAGCAAAGTAATTTTATTGTCTTGATCATTATTTTCTTCACCACAGATGTCTCATGAGCATAAAATGCCCTCTAGTGAGTAGAGTAGCTGCACAGACAAATTCAGTAAATTTCACTCTCAGAAGCCCTGTAAGATGTCTTCTTGAGGTTTCCTATGACCCAATGTTGTTTTCATGGATGCCAGATGATAGAAACTGAACTACTAACAGACTGATTCTTTAGGAAGAGCTATGTCTAGGCTAGTACTTTCTGTTTTGTTTGTTTGTTTGTTTTGTTTTGTTTTGTTTTGTTTTGTTTTTTTGCCAAGAATTCTAGGAAGCCAGGTAAGCAGTCAGGCTGCATGGAGCCTTTCTTGAACATTAACTGAAATAATGTAAATATTATTCTCTCTCCAGTAATAAATTAAAAGATTAACTCACAGTAAAATGTTCTGCCCTGTTTCCTGTGTTTGTTTTATAGAATGTTTGTTTCATAGTATATAACTTTGTTGGTTTCATAGTATATAACTGCCACAGTCTCCCTGTGGATGCAGGATAGATATGGTCTGCACTCGAGTATTTTACCAAGTGTCTGTCTGCTCAGTGGAAACAGATTATGTCACCTGGGGGCGTGGGGACCTTGAGGCTGCACCATGTAAGGTGCCTGGGGAGGGGATGGGTGGGCCCAAATACTGTGGGGCATGGAAGGAAATAGTACTTCTTAGAATCACGGTAATTCTCATGTGCACACATCTTTTTTTTTTTTTTTAAGTAATTTTTGGAATAATTTTAGATTTACAGATAAAGTGCAAAGAGATTACAGAGAGTTCATGTGTACCCTTCACCTGAATGTGCACAAATCTTTAGGAATTAATTTGGCCTCAGCCCCTAGCCTGAGGCCTAGAATGCGGGGGCATCCAGCTGATGTTATCACAGCAATGGCCGGGTCTGGGAGCACATTGCATGCTACAAAGGGTTCTTACGGCTCTCTTGCATTGATGGCAGACTTGGAGTAGATTCACACAACTCTGTATTTTGGATGTTCCATCTTTATTCGAAAGAGTTTGGAGAATGTAACCTACACCACATTTAAAAAAAAAATCACATCAAAGAAAATGCTGGATTTTGCTGTTATTTTCATAAAATAGTTTTTACCTCAGGGAACAGAGCAGAAATTGGCCTGGCAGAGGTCAGAAGCAGAGAGCGGGTTGCAGGCCCTCCTACTGGAAGCTCTGGGTATATAGGAAGAAGGAAAAAAGGATGGGTCCAGCCATTAACAGGTGTGGTGTAACTGTCAGGAAAGGATAATATGTATGTATGTATGCATTTGTTCAATTTTAAGAAAGAGAGAGCATGTGTACAGATGCATGCAAGCAGGATGTGTGTGTGGTGAGAGGGGCAGAAGGAGAGGGAGACAGAGAATCCCAAGCAGAGTCCACACTCACTGTGGAGCCCCACACAGGGCTTGATCTCACCATCATCACCTGAGCTGAAATCAAGAGTTGGGCATTTAATTGAACCACCCACGGACCCTGGGAAAGGAGATTTTATTTTATTATTATTTTAAAAGATTTTATTTATTTATTTGACGCAGGGAAAGAGCATACAAGCAGGGGGAGTGGGAAAGGGAGAAGCATGCTCCCCACTGAGCAGGGAGCCCCATGTGGGACCTGATCCAAGGACCTGGGGATCATGACCTGAGCCAAAGGCAGACACTTAACCGACTGAGTCACCCAGGAGCCCTGGGAAAGGACATTTTAAATGAGAATCTTTGGTGTCTGAAATTGGGATTCCTGTTTCTCATTATATTCTAGGACATGTCTTTAAAGATTTGACTTGATTTTAATTGAGCATTATTATTTACAAAATTTTTCAACTGCTAAAATAATCTAGTTTGTTGCTGCTGTCTTGTTCACAGGTGAACTTTGGAGTGTACCTGATGCATATGTCTCCGGACTTGTCTTCCCCATGTTTCCTGTCTGTAGGATCTCAGGTGCTCCCTGTGTTGAAAGAAAACGCAGAGCACCATGATTTACCTGCTTCTGACTAACATCAAGAAGTTACCTCCTAAAACGTTTTTTCAGCATAAATTAAAATTTCTCTTTTACAACTCTGACCACTTTTATTCAGATTGGCACATGGCTCAGTAGACCACCATCTTTTGAACAAGGAGAGTTCTCTTGGGAGTAGAGGGAGCTCTTGTCGGCTTCCTCTAACTCCTGCTCTCCCTGTGTGCCCTGCCAGGCTCAGCCTCTGTGCTCCGTGAAGTGAACACAGCCCTAGAGCTGTACTGCACCCAGTAACCTCCCCCTATGTGTTTGAAGTAGGATAACTCTAATTTGATGAGGGCTTTTTTTTTTTTAGATTTTTATTTATTTATTTGAGAGAGAACGAGAGAGAGAGAGAGAGAGAATGAGCAGGGAGGGGGAGGGGCAAAGGGAGAGGGAGAAGCAGACTCCCTGCTGAGTAGGGACCCGGCATAGGGGTAGTGGATAGACAATTAACTGAGCTATCCAGGCACCCCCCACCCCAAGTATTTTATTCTTTATGATGCTATTGGAAGTAGAATTGTTTTCCTTACTTATTTTTCAGATGGTTTATTTTTAGTGTTTACAAATGCAGCTGATTTTTGTATGTTAATTTTGTATTCTGCAGCTTTACTAAATGTACTTATTCTAACAGATTTTTAATGGAATCTTTAGGGTTTTCTGTATATAAGATCATGTCCTCTCTAAACAGGGATACTTTTACTTCTGCCTTTCCAATTTATATCTATTTATTGCCTAATTGCTCTGGCAAGGCCCACTAAGACTGTGTTGAATGGATGTGGCAAGAGTGAGCGTTCTTACTTTGTAAGAACTTTCAGTTTTTCACCATTGAGCATGGTTTTAGCTGTGAGCCTTTACCATGTTGAGATATGCTCCTTCTATTCCTAGTTTGTTGAGAGTTTTTATTATGAAAGGGTGTTACATTTTGTTAAATGCTTTTAACGCATCTATTTAGATAATATGAGTTTTAGCCTTTATTCTGTTAATATATTGCATTAACAGATTTTTATACGTTGAATAGTGCTTGCACTCAAGGGATAAATCCCACTTGGTCATGGGGCATGATCCTTTTAATGTGCTAATGGATTCATTTTGCCAGTATTTTGTTGAGGTGTTTTGCATCTTTATTCATTAGGGATCTCGTCCTATAGCTTTCTTGTGGTGTCTTTGTCTGTCTTGGGTCAAAGTAATGCTGGCATCTGTGAGTTTGGAAGTGCCCCCTCTTCTTCATTTTTTGGGAGCAGTTTGCAAAGGATTGGCTTTAATTCTTCTTTGAAATGTTTGGTAGGACTTGCCAGTGAAGCCATCTGGTCCTGGGCTTTTCTCTGTTGGGAGGTTTGTTGATTACTGATTCAATATCTGTATTTGTTATAGGTCTTTCCAGACTTGGTATTTCTTCATGATTTACACTCACTAAGGTGTATGTTTCCAGGAATTGACCCACGTCTTCTAGGATCTCCATTTGGAGTGTAATTGTTCATAGCAGTCTTTTATGATTCCTTTTATTTCTGTGCCATCAGTTGTAATCGTTCTTCTTTCCTTCTGATTTTACTTGAATCCTCTTTTTTTCCCCTGTAGTCTAGCGAAGGGTTTATCAATTTTGTTTATCCTTTCAAAAAACCCAACTCTTAATTTTGTTGATTTTTTTCTGGTGTTTCTTTTCTTTTTTTTTTTTTTTTTAAGATATTATTTATTTCAATAGGTGGAGAGGCAGGCAGAGAGAGAGAGAGAGAGAGAGAGAGAGGAGGAAGCAGGCTCCCTACTGAGCAGAGAGCCCGATGCGGGGCTCGATCCCAGGACCCTGAGATCATGACCTGAGCCGAAGGCAGAGGTTTAACCCACTGAGCCATCCAGGTGCCCCTCTTTTTGTTTTTTAAGATTTGATTTATTTGAGAGAGTGAGAACTAAAGAGAGCATGAGCAGAGGATGAGGGGTAGGGGGAGAAGGAGAGGGACACAGAGGGAGACTCATCGCTGAGCAGGGAGCCCTACCCTGGGCTCCATCTCAGGGCCCCAGGATCATGACTAGAGCTGAAAGCAGATGCTTAACCACTGAGCCACCCAGGTGCCCTGTTTTTCTATTTCATTTATTTCTGTTCTAGTGTTATTTCCTTCTTTCTGCTAACTTTGGGCTTTTTTGCTCTTTTCTAGCTTCTTGGGGTGTAAAGTTAGGAAAACCATATTGTTTACTAAACAAATTGCTTTGCATTTGATACAAGTAAAAACATTATTTAAAAAAAAAAAAAAGGCCCACTCCTGACCTGTGGTGGCTACTGTGTGCTTCCCCCTGCTCCGGATGGCAATCGGGAGGAAAGGAAAAGCCAGCTTCTGTGTTCATGAGCTTGGTGGTTCATATCTGGGGATCCCCAGACATGCTGCTTTGATGGTGGCCCAAGGGTTAGGGGCACATCTGGGAGTGTGGGGGCTGGCCTGGGGCAGGGCGGGGTGGGGCAGAAGGGATTGCTCTGCAAAGCTTGTCAGAACGGTGCCATGTCCTCTGTGTGACAGAAAGCGACCATGTCCACTCCCACTCACTTTTTTCTCTGGCCTTTGGGGCCTTTGGCAAGGGAAAGAGATGAAAAGACTATTTTATGACATGCCCCAAACTTCCAGCCAGAGGGAGAGAAGTTAAGCACTGCAAGGCCGGCTCTGGTAGTGCCTTTTGCTCTGTCGAGTGACCCTGCCCTGACCAGAAGAAGCCATGGGGACCAAGGGTGCTCCATTTTTCTCAGCTTTTGATTATGCAGGAGGGAGGTGGGGAGCGGCCAGGGAGAGCACATGCGGCGGGGATCCAGTCACACAGGGACCCACCACTAGACCTGAATGCTAGTGGGCACCTGAGTGCTCTGAGCAAGGTCCCTGCTGGGGCCCCTGGGAGGGGATAAAACCTTCACCAGGCAGGTGGAGTTCTGAGCACACACATCTTTGAGAAAGGCCAAGGCTCTTCTAGCTGCAGGGAGAGTTCGGGGCACAAGGGAAGCAGGAAGAAAGCTGGCATACCCTTTCTAGCCTGTCTTTTTCCAATTCACCTGTTTTGTGCTGACAGAATTAACTTCTATGTATCTCACCTGGCAAAGCCCCAAATTAGTCATAGCAAACCTTATTCTATATGAGCAAGCTATTGAGCAGATCTAAGTCTCATCGGAAAAGTGAGGAAAAGCACAAAATTTACTTCAGAGATTTAAGAATTAAAGGAAAAGTTCATGTTTAGCACAATGCCGCAAAATAATCATGCCAAGTAAGCCACGTCTACCATCTAGTGGCAGCATTCAGTAATGGCAGATTTTATTAATTAAAGAAGGATGAAAATGAGTTCAGGTCGGGTGGGCAAGTTGCAAAGGATGGCAAATGTTAGCGCGTTTTTCTCTGCCCGGCTTCCTTAGTGGAAGCTCCAGAAAACTTTTCATTATTGATGTTGGAATCCTTTAAAAGTTAGTTCCTTAATTATTTCTTGGTCAGGTTAATAATAAAAAAAAGATTTTATTTGGGGCACCTGGGTGACTCAGTTGATTAAGTGTCTGCCTTTGGCTCAGGTCATGATCGCAGGGTCCTGGGATCGAGTCCCGCATCGGGCTCCCTGCTCTGCGGGAAGTTGGCTTCTCCCTCTCCCTCTGCCTATCACTCCCCTTGCTTCTGCTCTCTCAATCTCTGTCAAATAAATAAATAAATAAATAAATAAATATCTTTTAAAAATAGATTGTATATATTACTTATTTATTCATTAGACAGAGATTACAAGTAGGCAAAGAGGCAGGCAGAGCGAGAGGAGGAAGCAGGCTCTGCACTGAGAAGAGAGCCTAATGCGGGGCTCAATCCCAGGACTCTGGGATCATTACCTGAGCCGAAGGCAGAGGCTTTAACCCACTGAGCCACCCAGGAGCCCCAAGATTGTATTTATTTGTATATTTTAGAGAGCACACATGGTGGAAGGAGTAGGGGCACAGAGTGGGAGAGACTCTCAAGCAGACCCTGCACTAAGCATAGAGCCCTATGGGGGGTCAAATCCCACGACCCTGAGATCATGGCCTGAGCCAAAACCAAGAGTTGAACGCTTAACAACTGAGCCACCCAGGCATCTGGGTCAGATGAATTTTCTGCTGGCATGGCATCAACCATTCTTTTGGAGTCTCTTATTTTCTTGGGACTTTTTAAAAAACTAAGCTGCTTTGAATTGGCTGTTTTGTCAAGTGGATCTCTTCTGTCTTTTTCTTTGTCTCTGTCTACCTGCCTGCCTGTCTGGCTGTCTCCCTCTCTCAAGTTTTAATATATAGAAACTGTACTCAACAGCAGGTCTAGGTTTTGTGTGCATGAGGCTTGCACACCTTAAAAATCCTCCTTAAGAAAAGAATGCAAAATAAACATTAGGTACAAAGAGGGATGCAAACTCGCATGTGATAGGAAAGGGCTTTGAAAGGCATCTGTGCAAGTGAGAGGTTTCAGTGCTGTGACTTTGGCAAGCGACCCTCCTTTGCTCCGTGCGCCTGCTGCTCTCCTTTCCCCGTGCAGCTGAGCGCCACCCAGACTCTCAAGGGCTACATTGTTCCTGCTTTTTGCAGTTTACAGAATAAACCACGTTTTATTCACTTTCTAAAATAAACAGCCACGTGAAGACCTGTCCTGGTTTTTTCTCCCCAACCTGTTGCTGGAAACTAATTGTGTCATTATCCCTCTGAGACAGTGATTTGCCTGGGACACTGCCTGCTCCGGTTCAGGCCAGGACCTGAGATTTCCTTCCCACATGGGTGTCTGAGCTCACTGTTGCCAGGAGTTTATTGTTATGGACTGAATGTTTTTGTGTCCCCCAAATACACTGTTGAAGCTTAACCCCCAATGTGATGGCATTAGGACGGGAGGCCTTTCGGAGGCATGAGAAAAGAGCCCTCACAAATAGGACTAGTGCCCTTATAAAAGAGACCTCAAAGAGCTTCCTCCCCCCTTCTGCCATGTGAGGACACAGCGAGAAGATGGCCATCTGTGAACCAGGGAGTAAGATCTCACCAGACACCAAACCTGCCAGCACCTTGATCTTTGACTTCTAGTCTCCACAAGTATAAGAAATTTCT